CCCCATCCCAATATGGCTCTGGCCACGCGGTCTGGGATCCCTTGTTTCCCGCCTTGCTCCTTCTTTTCCTGTCCCGAACCTTCCCTTCCCCCAGTAACTCCTGCTTCGTTCCCACCCCTTTGTTCGGCTGCTCCACCCCTGGGGACTCTGCCTTTTCTATCATGGGCAACACGCCATCCAGGGAAATCGAAACTGGAACCGAGCTCTGAAGGCCAGCGTTTCATCAAGAACATCTAAGTGGCAACGCCCACATCTTCGGGACCAAAGCCAAAGCTGAAAATTAAGAACTCTGCCCCTCTTAAGAGGAGATTTAAGAACTGCACCCTTCCTAAAACAAAATCCAGAACTGGAAGAGACTGAACTAAGAAACCGTTTTGTTTGTATTAAGTACCATCACTGTTTCATTTGCCCGGCTGTTGTCCGAGATTTAAGTGTTTGTTTTTAATTTATTTTTTTTTGTTTGTTTGCTTAATGTGTTTTGTTGTTGGGTTTTTAGTGTCCCTCAAAGCAAAGTGGGTGCTTTGTGGAGGAGGTGAGATTTTATGGTGTAAGTTTTGGAAACATTTTAAGCTCCTAATCAAAATTTGAACAGAAAAAAAAAAGCAGATATTGAGAGGTGCCTCAGGGAGGTGAGGAGTTAGTTTCAGATAAGCATTGTTAACGTGAGAGGCATGGCTGTATTCATGGGTGTGAATTTTGACTCCCTGTGTTTGGGGATGGGCATGTGAGCCCTGGATGAAGTTGTCCCACCACAAACCCCTTGTGAAGGGTGGCCCAGGAGTTCTGATTGGGTTTGAGTCCCTGGGGGGGTTCTCCCTTGCTGTGTTTCTAGTGGTCCCTAAACCTGAACTCCACCTTCAAAGGTGGAGACCCTCAAGAGTTCTGTCCTTCAAAACCCCTGCCCTGCTTTTGTTCGGGGCTCTCTGTTCTGGATCTGAGTTGTTCCCATGCTGAATAAATGGTTTCATGAACAGAGGTGTATCTTGTTGTATTACATGCTGGTTCCCAGAAAATAACACCCCTGGACCTGATCCTGCAGTTGTGGACTACAACACTGGGTATGCAGACAGTTTGGGGAATAAAAGGCTGGAGAGCAGCACCACAGCAGTGGTGAGACCTGGGAGTTTGGGCTGAGGGCAAGTGGAACAGGAGCCAGCAGTGCCCTGGCAGCCCCAAGGGCCAACCCTGTCCTGGGGGACATCAGGCCCAGCATTGCCAGCTGAGCAAGGGGGTGACTGTCTTGCTCTGCTCTGCACTGGGGTGGCCTCACCTCAAGTCCTAGGGGCAGTTTGGTGTGCCTCCAGGTGTGGATATAAAGCTATTAAAGAGCATATACAGAGGCCTACAAAGACAGTCAATGGCATAGAGGGGCCATATGAAGTTCCTTGGTTTGTTCAGCCTGGAGGAGACTGAGGTCAGACCTCATCAGGTCTGCAGCTTCCTCCCAAGGGGCAGCTCTGATCTCTGCTCCCCGTGACAGGACCTGAAGGAACCGAGCTGTGCCAGGGAAGGGGGATCTCAGGGAAAGGTTCTCCCCCCAGAGGTGCTGGCACTGCCCAGGCTCCCCAGGGAATGGGCACAGCCCCGAGGCTGCCAGAGCTCCAGGAGCACTTGGTGAATGCTCCTAGGCCCAGGGTGAGGAACACGATGTTCAAGGTGCTCTCCAAACCAAGCCATTCTATGATGCTATGATTGTTGGGGTGTCTTGTGCAGGGCAAGGAGTTGGACTTTGATGATCCTTGTGGGTCCCTTCCAACTTAGAATATTCCATAATTCTGTGATTCTACAAACTACAGATTAGTCTTCTAAAATAAAAGCTCTGGCAACAAAGTCATTACAGGAGAATCCGCACGGTTTGGCCACTTTTTTCCTTGTAGAGCAGATAAACAGCAATTATTTGAAAAGCTGAGTTCATGCCAGCTTTATGCTTACCTCGAGTGACAAAACCAGCATGACACCAGCTGGTACAGATCTGAACCTGTTCAAGGCTGGTTCTAAAACGTATTTGGGAGGGACACAGGCAGGAATAGCACCTGGAGTTCATGCCTGCACTGCTCAGAGATTAATCAGGAGCCCACAGCTCAGCTGTTGGAGTCACACCTGCCTCTGTGGGAACATCACCTGTCACTGCAGGGTTCTCTCCCTTTAGGTGCTTTTTGGTGACTCCATGCAATTTATTACTCACCTTCTCCCAGAATCCACACCTGACTGAAGCACAAACTGTAAAGAAACCTCTGGAGGAAACTTCACACAAAACACATGAAATATCATGAATTCAAACAGAAAAAAAAATCCCAATGAAATCTGAGCATAAAAATGATGAAGGTCTTTGGTATTACAGAAAATGCAGATGGAAGGCATTGTTTAATTAATTAGCACAGCAAAACAACAGGAAATACAGCAACACAGGTTAAAATACTTTTTAGTAGTTTATTATAAAATACAGATTTACATGTGAAGGCACTTTGAAACTGTTACAAAACTTCCATGTAAGCTATTGTTTTAGCTGTTCAACAAGCCTAAAATAGTTTTTAGATCACCTAAAAAAGGTGAAGAATTTTGAACTGGATCCAGTTGTAGTACATTCATTTTCCTAATACGAAAATGAAGAGAACTATGAAGAATGAAGAGACACTAATGAAGAGACACTACACCTAACAACAGTTAATAAGGATTTTGGCTCCATGAATTGTCTGCTGTCAGAGAAGGCACTGACAGTGTGGGGAGCAGAGACGCCAGGAGATTTGCACATGACATTGAATTAAAACCATGTCAACTAAACTCATCATACCATACTGTGGAAAGACTGATGCTGTCATGCCTAACCATACATTTCCTATCCAGAAAGGCTGCAATCCTCCACTTTTTATCTCAAAATCTGAAGACAAACATTAAAACTTGAATAAAATTAAAGGAAGTCAAATATCTACATGACTCCTCCACTGTATGGCCATTTCTTCATACTGCAGCTCTCCATGGGCAAGCACCCTTTTTTTTAAAGTAAAAAAGTTAAAAAAAAAATAAATCAAATATTCAAGTAACTAACAACTCAAAACCAAGTTTGTGAACTTTCTACTCCTTGCTGAGTAGCATCCCTGCACACCTACACGTTGTAATCAATTTGTCCTTCATCACTGCTGGCTAGATTCATTAGCTGAGGCTGTTCAAAATCATGGCAGTGTTCTCCCCTAGAGCTGTGGATCTCACAGCACATACTAACCCACCCATCCAATGAAGGGAACAGAGACCCCCAAATAAGTCCTATGTAATCGTTCTTTTTTTTTTTCAGTTCAGTTACACAGAAACTGAAAATTACAGTGCTGAGAAGTTTCTCTATGGCTCTAACCTTAAATACAATTATAAAATAAAATCAAACTATTGATTTACAGTAAAGAGTAAACACTGACTTTTCTCCATTTTGGTAAAACAGACCCTACCAAATCCTCAGCATTAAAAATTCAGTCACAAGAACTGGATGCTGGAATTTATACTTTTCCAGTGAATCCAAGCCTTCAACAGCTATAAACCCTCACACACACCTCCTTATGTGATGGGCTTACATTCAGTGTAGATACTACACAAGAGGCTAAAGGTCTTCAGGAAAAAATAAAAGATATACAATTTGTTAAATGAATTTGTGCATTTGAACAGCTTTGAGATGGCCAAGCCCCAGCTGCTGATTTCAGCTTTAACTGTATTTCTTCATGGGTGAGCTGCCATCCGTATGAACAGCACCTAGGGCAGGCTGCTCTGTGGCTTCCAACACGGAGCACCACTGGCTCAAGAGAAAGGGAATTGAGGCTCACAGAACTGTACCTCAGTGCTTTACCAGAGTCCAACCTAAGTCACTACTATTTGTATTAGATTATTGCCTTTGTTACTGCAAAAACTGTCAGATACATGTCACAACCTACACTTTAACGGAAGTTCTGACAGTTCAAAACTGCTCAGTTCTTCTTGAGGCTAAACAATTATTTTCTCCTCCCTCCAGTTACTCCAAAGTAAAATAATGTGTAAAATTCCATATTCTTTTAAAATAAGGCACTTTGCAAGTTTCTTCTCCAAATACTAAAAGCTTGAGGAAACTTCACTGATTTAACTCATTTCTTTATCACTCTTATTCTAACAATAAAACTGGTCTTACAAGCCGAGTTACACTCAGAACTCATGATGCTCTAAATGAGGCAACATCCAATATGGCTTTCACAGAACACTCTTTTGCTAAAACAGCACAGAGTAAGTCATAGCACAATGTGGTCTTTGGGAATGAAGACCACTGGTATTTCCTACATAACTCTTACTTTTTGCATCCTGTGGAAGTCAGGTGAAAATTCAGTGTTGAAGGAACTTGGCATAACTTAAGAGATCCCACAGAAAACAGAAGTTTTTTAGTGATTTGCTCTTTCACTGACAACATCCTGCAGACGTTTTAGCAGAACATCATCATTTTCCTGGCAGAGTCTCTTCATGGGAGATTCAGTGTCGCTGTCAATTGTTATTGCTCGCTTCTTACTCCTCTGTTCACCTTGTTTTATCATATTATTGATGTCCTTCAAACTCTGCGATCAAGACAAAAATAATGAGTTACTCTGTCTCCATTTCAAACTTGCTCTATGTCTGAAATATCAGAGAACAGGTTATCCTCCACCTCTCAGTGATGGACTCTACACACAGAATTCTACCTTTCAGTGCAAAGTGAGAGACTCCTCATTACAACACATCAGAACTGCACTAGATCACATCCCAAGACTAATTAACCCTTCCTCAAACTGATCACTTTCAGCCTTGTTTTTCTCTCTACCTTGGAAGGACTGCCATTGAACTTGTAGAGCAGAGCAGTTCGAGGTGTGAGGCAGGTGCCATTCTTGTGAGGCGACACGTACACGGAGTGCTGCTGGGAGATGCGCCGGGGAGACACCGGCTGCTGCCGGATGCTGGGGAACGGCGACAGTGGGGGCGCTTCCATCTGCAAGAGAGGACACGTGTGCACAGCAGCTCAACTGGAACATCCTGAGAACAGGAACTTCACAGAAGAGAAGATTAATATGCTTCCAGGTCTTCAGAATATTTGATCTTGTGACAGTGGAACAACAGATCAAGTAACAATCAAGTAACAGAATTAATCTGCCAGATGCCTTACACAGTCCACAGGCTTTTGAGCAAGTAGGTATAGCATCGATGCAAAGAAGCTGGAACTGGGTACACAAACTGAGCAGCATCTGCATTTGATCTCTTGAAATGCTGTTAAAGCAAGTGCTCATACCATTACCTCCAACTATCAGACTTGACCCACACCAGGTGACAAGACAAAGGTATTGACATATGTTTAACTGTCAGGAAAAATGACTTTGTGAGTATTAATTCCAAAATAATTTACTTACCACGTGATCCTGGTTTGTGACATCGTACTTCAGTGCAAATGATTTTACTCTTCCTACGTAGACTGCATTGTAAAATTTAATAAGATCTCCTCTCTCCTCTGTTTCTGACTCACTCGAGTTCTCCGCTGCAGATTGTCCCGAGGAGCCGCCAGCTTTCACAGATGAGTCTAATAATAAGAGAGCTTCAGATTTCAAAACTACAGCATTGGCAAACCAGGAACTTCAGAGTTGAACTTACAACTGGCATGAACTTGCCCATAAATTGACCAGTCAATGAGAGGAATTCAAGAAAAGTGCTTGAGCCAGGAGCAGGGTGTGCTGCAGGTGCTTATGAATATCAGGAGGAGCTACCAATTGCTGTGAACAGGCTTGTGAGTTATGACTAAAAAGGCCAGTATCAACCTTTATTCCCAACTTGGAAATAGCTGTAGCAAGAAACTGTAGCACAACTGACCCCCTCTTCCATGATTATTTTGGGGAGTGGTACAAAGCCACTACATGCTCTTGAAACCAAGTTTTAAGCAGTCTGATAGCTCCCAGCTTTTGGCTTCTCTGAGTCTTGTGATCAGTTAGTGAAGAAAAACTTGGTGCTCAACTCAGATCTGCACCAAAGAAGTCATGACATCATTTGTTCAGGCATGTTCTGTAAAGTGGGAAAAGCTGCAGCCATACAGCAAGTGGATTTCTGTTAATGTTTGCTCTCCCTTAACTAAGCTGAAGTGCTACTGAATACAACTTTCTATGTCTCCATAGAAGGACAAATGCCCATCTGCCTTCCTTCTCTCACAACACAAGCACAGCTCCTGTGAACTGGTGTCAAAAGCACAAGAGTTAATACTATGTAAAGGAGGCACAAGTCCATAAACTGAAGGAAGTCTGGTAGGAAAAGCCACTGAAGAATTTTGTAACCAAGTATATCACTTCAGATACTCCAAGTCATCCAGTAACTGTGGAGGTGTCTGACAGGATTTAAATGAGATCAGCACTTTCCATGACCCTGGTAGAATCCTCAACAGGCCTTTAAAAATGGCTCTAACACTCATTAAGGCAAATGAATCCCACTCGGAGGGAATTTGCCACAAAGAACTAAATTCCATGTATGTCCTGGCTACATATCTGTTCATGGGTTCAGATATGATCTGCTCTGCTCATGGGTTCACACACAGGCTTGGATTTCTCAATTTCCTGACATGTCACTCAAAAGAGGCATGGCACAGTTCTCAAGCTTTTCTCAAATACCACCCTTATCCCTTTTCTTCTCTAACCTAGAGCAAAGAAAGCATTACCTATTTAAAAGAAACCTGAGTATAAGAAAATTGTGGTCCTGGAGAGTTAGCATTTTTATTTTCAGAAACAAGTTTCCCCTACTTCAGTCTTCAGAATAGGTGATATTAAAAAATCCCCACGATAATATTCCAGGTACTGTTTATCCTCATTCTTTGTTATCAGTGTTGCTGTCCAAGAAGAAACTACAGTATAATTGACACACTAAGAAAGTACTTCCACCCTGAGCAACTAAATTTAAGTAAATGAAATGAAATATTCTTTCCAACTAGGAAGTGTATTTTCCATGTCTAATACACAGGAGAGCTACTTACAAGATGTTTTCTTTTTCAACAATACAATTCTTTTTCTTTAATATATGTAAAACCATAAAATTTGCTCCATTTCTTATTACTTGACAGTCCAGTTCTTTAAAAGTCCCAAATATGTTACTGAAGAGAGCAGATTCCTTTTCTGTACTCACCTTCTGTCATCTCCATATCTGGGTTTGCATTTTTGTCCAATGGGACATCATCAGAAGTATTTCTCAACAAGACACTCCTATAAACCTACAAGACACCAGGGAAAAACACTCTTCTCAAGGAAAGCAAGGAAGTCAGGAGATGAAATCCAACTGAACAGGGACAAGTATTGCACTGCAGAGGATTTGACTTTTTTTATGAGCACAAAGACTTCAAAAGCCACCTCTGAGTTTTAAAGAAAGTAAAGGAAATGCTATTGACTTACATGGCTGTTTGCTTGTGGCTGATTTCTATAACTTTTCATTATGTCCTGAAAAGTTCTTTCCTCTTTGGTTACCTGGAAAAGAAAAGACTGTTGAAGAACAAGTGCAAGCACAAAGGCTGGGCTGCTCAGGTCCAGTATGTAGCTTTTTGAGGAGTATTACTATGAATACATAATTTTAAAATATATCTCTGGTGATGAAAGCATGAAAACAATAAAGGTTTTTCTTGTTCAGGAATTCCTTGTTTCTTAGTTACTAAAGCTTTTTGTTGCTTATAATGCTTAGGCATTACTCCTTTCCAGACTTTTCTTCCAATGACACTTGAAATTAAGGAAAGGAAATATTATAAAGTCAAAAATGTGTTTTGTGAATTTGGAAACTGGATCCCTTAACTTTTTCTAAACAGAAAGTGGGGAAATCCTGAACAAGACATTAGGCAGGTATGTACACACATGCAATTTCACCTTGATTTTTTGTTTCAAAAAAGATCATTTGTTGAAGTGCTTTGTTTTTCAGCCATACATTTGTAATTTTAAGAGCAGACAAGCAACAGTTTTTGTAATAGGATCCAGGAGACAATGTCTCTGGCTAAGCTGTCAGGTCTCACACTGCACTGGAGACAGCATTCAAAAGCCTGTATTATAAATAACCCCAAAGCACCTGACAAATTACAAGATAAAATTGTAATTGAGCATTGACTATTACATGGTTTTGCTATCAGTATTGACATCAGGTGAGCCTAACCCATGCTGCAGTTAAGAGCACAGATAATTACAATTTAAATATTGGTTTCCCTCCACACATAGTGCTCCCCTTCATTTGTCCTCAAAAAAAGGTAATCCAGCCTCCTGCATTTTGTGTCTGAATTAGGGTTAATGGACGCTGTAACCACCAGCTCAAGTTTGAGTCAAACCAATAGTCCAGTTTCATAATAAAATTTAACATCACCTAAAATTAAAGCTGACAAATGGAATAAGAAATTAAGTACAACAGGCAACCACCTCAATTCCTCAGCCTGAATCATCAAAAGCTAAGAGGATTTTTGGGAATAGAAACCATCTTACATATATTTACTCCTGCAAATTTCTGCACCTGCCTAATTCTGTAATTTTAATGGAATTTTTTACTGTCAAGGTGACAAATGGGACAGCAACAAATACAGGGCAGTAAGACCACACAGTGCTTTGTCTGTGTCAACCAGTGTTCACTGTGAATGCACTTGAGAAGAGAAACTGTCAAGAATTTCCATCAACAAGCTAGTGAGCTAAGATATGCAAAACAAAGAAAAAACCATACTAGGACTTCATCCACTTCTTGGAAGGATCTTCCCCTTCCCTCCAATAATAGGACATGAATGAATCAAACCATAAATGCTGAACCTGATGTTTTCAACTGAACATAAAAAAGTCCACTAATTTATTAAAACTACATGTTACCTTGGCCATAATGTAAAAAGCACAGAGAAGGAGCTGGTCCAAATGTCTGTCTTTCATAAGATCAGCACAATGAACCAACGTGAATTCAAAACATGTCCAGATCTTCCTGCGCAAGTCATTGGAAACGTCCAGTTTTAAGCACAGATCACGCAAGCGCACACTTGCCAGATGATACACCTGGAAGGAAAAGACACACAGTAAAGAGTGAAGCCAAACAAGCTTATCCTGGCCTGCAGAAATAAAAGACCTCAAAGCAGAGCTATTCTGTAAGGGCCACAAAGATGATTAGAGGGAAGACCTCTCCCATGAGAGCAGTCTGGGAGGGTGGAGGTTGTTCAGCCTGGAGAAGAAAAACCTCTGGAGAGGCCTTAGAGCCTCTTCCGCTGCCTAAGGGGCTCTAGGAGAGCTGGAGAGGGACTTGGAACAAGGGCCTGGAGTGCCCTTCCACTGGCTTCCCACTGGCAGAGGGCAGGGTTAGATGGGATATTGAGAGGGAACTCTTCCCTGTGAGAGTGGTGAGACCCTGGAACAGGTTGCACAGAGAAGCTGTAGCTGCCCCATCCCTGAAGTGTTCAAGACCAGACTGGATCTAGTGGAAAGTGTCCCTGCCCATGGCAGGGGGAGGAATTATTTGATCTTTTAGGTCCTTTCCAACCAAAACCATTCTGGAATTCTGGGATTCAAAGACTAAGCAGTCCACTCTACAGCTGTTGAATCTCTAATACTTACAGAAAATCCACCTAAAAACATTATGTCTATAGTTTCTATACTGTATCCATCCCTACCTATGTGTATTTCTTTCAAAGAAGGAAGGGGTAGTGTCATTTTCACTTGCTCTACTGAACAGGAGCAAGAAATGAAAGTAGGGCAAAACTATTATGTATGATGATCACTGTAAATGGAAGGTCAGAATTTAATGACAAATATAAGTCAAGGCTTTAGTTCTTCTTCACAACTAAGAGGAATTATATTGTCTATGAGGTTAGTCAAAGACATGGCTACTTCTGAAGTACTTCCCAGCCGAGAGTAAAGCTTCCAAAATGCAGCATTCCCAACTGGCAGGTGGCTGATCAATTCTTAATCCTTTCCCAGAGAAACTGCCCATCACTGGCAAAATTTAACAACCAATAGTTCAGACAATGGATACGGCTTACAAGTGTTACAAGAATTCTTTTTTTGTATTAAGATGTACCTCAAGGATTGTTCATGGTAGAACTTAAGTTCTATTGTATCTATACAGATACCCTCAAGGGGGAAAACCTCTGAAAATAACTTACCTAGGAAAAAAGCAACAGCAAAAAAAATCTAATATTTTTGAGAGAGACTTATTTAGGGATATATTCTTTGTAGTCACCTAGACCAAGTTACCCCCGCTTCCTCCCAAGACCCCTCACAAAATTTACACTGAAAATGAAATCAACTAAAAGTAAGTCACCTGAAGTTTCCCTGAAGTACATGAGGTTCTTAATTTTATTTTTAAATCCTGCATTATTTCAAACTTATTCTTTCTAGAAATTTTTAGCTACTGTGTTATTCATCACTGCTTTCTGAGACCCCAGCCCAACAAGACCAGCACTACTGGGCAGACTTAAAAGTGGCAAAGGAGCATCTCCAGCTGCTGGATCCACAGCAGTGCACCTTTGAATGAGTGAGACACAGGAAAATCATCTCATGTCAGATCTGTCTAACCCTTGCAAATGTGGGGGCAATCAAAAGAGCCAAGAGAAGTAAAATCTGAAGTAAACTATGCTTTTGATATTTATTTATAGAAGCTCCTAATTAAAAAGAAAAAAAAAATCTCATGAGTGGAAAGGGGAAAACTGGACTCTCTGCAACACTCAAAAAATTCCCTTCTTCTTCAAGGTATACAAGAACTGCATATGCCAAGGGAAAGGCACATGAAGACTGAAGGTAATGGGAGCTGCAGAGGGAGGCAGGCTCCAGCATGGCTATGAGCACAAGTACAGCATCACTCCTGAGTAAGAACACTCACCTTCCTGTAGAACAGTGCCAAGGAGCCTGTTCTCTTGGGTTTGCTGGCTGCTGGCAGCTGCACTTCTTGTGCTTGGTTCCCAGGAGGGTGGCAGGGAGCCTGCACATCCACTTTACACGGCTGGCCTAAATTAATCGAAATGGGGATCAAGGTGATTCCACCCATGTCATTTGCAATACCTGTAGAGGATACACATATCCAGAAAGAAACCGGTTGCTCTCCGTCTGATGCAGTCAGAAACAGCAAATCAAACTAATTTATGAACATTTGATACTAAAGACACCCTCTGTACTACAGTCTAAAAAGACTTTGTCCCTCAGAGTCTTCAGAAATGGTAAAAATTACATTTCTGGTAAGATTTAAAAGACAAATCTGAATGTGAATGATCTTTTCTAAAGCTTGTCTGAAAGTACAAAGTTCACAAACAATCACAATTTTTGTACTTGGTTTGTCACTTTTTTAGGGAAGGTGAGCACATTTTTTTTTTTTATTCTTATTCTGCAAAACTGGCAGCATATCCTATACAGTCCTCATTAATTTCCTCAGTAATCAAATTCTGTTGCTGAAAACCTCCTTAAGCATAGTAGTGCAGAATTTTTCTTTTCATCTTGTTATAGATGGGTAATGCGATGGTTGGCTCTTGCAATTAAGGGATGAATATTATGAGTATGCTAAGAGAAGTTATATTGATGTATAGTTATGTTACTGTGATTTGTTGTTTAGACATCCTCTGTTTTCTCCATGCTCCTCTTTCCCCCTGTATGGTTGCCAAGGGACAGTGGGGACATGTGGAGGGAGGGCTGTACCTGTGCCCCTGGTACATCTCAGAGGCTTGGCATAAAAACACCTCACCTCCAAACAAGCTGCAAGAAAGCAGTCTCTACCACTGGACAGTGAAGAAGAGTTGATTAGCAGACTTTGGGAGGGGACAGGGTTCCCTGATGCCATGCCAGGGGTATAAAAGGTGGGGCAGCCACTTTGTGGGTGAGCACATGGCTGCTGGTCACAGAGACTCCCAGCACTGCTCCTTCTGCTTATTCAGTCTTTTGTTGTATTTTATTCAGGTTTTTAATAAACCTTAGAAATTTTTTAAAAGTGGGTATTGTTTTTCACAATCTTTAACTATAGACCCAATTTTTAAATTAAGAAATGGCTATAAACTCATGGCTCATGTATCATTTTCAGAAATATTCAAGTATCACCCAACTTCCAGAAAACAGAAGTATGGATGCTAGCTCTGGAGCAGGCTGCAGGGAGCCTGCAGAAACTGCAGGCCGCATAGCTTTCTCAAGTCCAGCCTGAGAAAGTAGCCTGGGAAGTTTTAAGGAGGAATCAAAACAATCCTCAGAGACAGAAAACAGCTGTGCCAAGTACTGTTTGTCTGTCCCTTGTTTCTTTGCAAGAGAAAGTCAGAGGGTGTTGTGCCCCACTGACCAATGATGGTGATGTAGTGGTTTGCTAACCAATAAGAGTTTCCTTTCTGTACTTTCCACGTATCAATCTATAAAGAGACCTGAAGCAATAAACTAGATGAATTCTCCTGTTCTGACTCCATGAGAGTCTGTGACGTCTCTACCCAGCCGGTCCTAATAGAGTGACACAGAAGTCTCACAGTGTTTTGCTAATGTTAACACATAACCCTTATCCAGAAGTTCTAGAACCTTTGAGATTATAACACACCAAAGTAAGACAAATTGCAGTAAACCATTAATGGAGCTGAGAACCAAAGTACTGCCTAATGTGTGAGGTCTAACTGTGTCCTGGAGTGACTTTATGATACTGGTATTCACAATCACCTGATTTATATTATATATTAAGTTCTGTACCTTTAAGGCTTTGAGAGCTAGGGAAGTTAAAACTGCTGGAGGCTGATGAGAGCTTTTCCTCCTGGCCAATAACTGGCCATTTCTGAGAACTGACAGTGGTTTTGACCATTGAAAAGGGAGATCAACCTGTTAACACCACTTTAAGACCTAAGCCCGAGACGTTCTTGCTCTCTTTGGTTTCTGGCTTCTGAGGAGGTAACGGGGCTCTGGTTCAGCCTCCTCCCCCCCTCACCAGGCCGGACAAGGCTGCAGAGGGTGGGGGGGAGCGGGCCCAGGCCGGTCTCTGGCTCCATTTGCAGTTTCTGCCACTGCTGAGTTTCACCAGAGACTGCTGAGTAAGGAGAGAGAAAAGCCATTGCCCTGCAGTGGGCTGAGACAGTGACCACACTCTCCAGAGCAGCCATGAAGAACCTTCCATTGCAGACAGCCAGCTCCAGCCACCGCTCTGGCAGAGATCACAGACCCATCTACAAGGCCTGGGCAAGACTTTAACCCTTTCACTACCCAGATGAGACTTGCAGATTAATCCTTTTTTTTCCAGAGAGGGGAAAAGAGAGAGAGAGTGATCAACAAAGATCAACAAAGAGACACCATAAACTATCAAAAACAGTGAAGAAAATAATTAAGCTTCAGAGCGGCGAGAGAAATAAAGAGATGCTTTAATAAGCTGAAATATTTTTCTGTTAAAGCTATGGAGATGGACAATAGCATTCTGAAAAAACTCCTTTAATTCATGACAGAGTATTTTGGGGGGAATGGAGTATTTCAGAGTGTAGATTTAAGAAAATGGTGAAGCAGTTGTGATCCTGCGAGATGCTGGAACAGAAAAAGAAAAGTAATAGTTGAAGATTTGTAGCCTTTAAGAGGCAAAGAGAAACTCCTGTTTCCAGAGAAGCTCATAAAAACAGATGAAGAGAACTTCTGCCTTTGAATAACTCACCCTTAAAAATGACACCCCATCTTGACTCATTGACCCATACACACCTCAGAGTGGTGTGAAATGGGAGGAGAGAACTGATGGCAGAATTTCCGGTCAGCTGGCATCAGAGAAATAGAAAGCCATGAGGAAAATGGTTTCCTTGTAAAAAAACTCCATAGATTAGCAGAAGAGGAACTCTTTTTCTCTACGAAGACTGATGAAAAGACTATAGCAAAACTGAGACTGTTTTAACCACCAAGTTTTTTGTCTCTGTGTTGTCATATGAACAAGAGAATGGTTGAGTAGTAGGGAAAAAAGCTTCTGAAGTATTATTCTGGTTTCTTATTCTTGTAGTTTTTGTTAATAAACTTTCTTTGTTCCTTTTAAGTTTTAAGCTTGTTTTGCTCTTGTTCTAATCCATATCTCACAGCAAGAAATAAGTAAGCTTTCTATTGATTTTTTAGTTAATGCTTTTAAACCATGACAAACTGGAAGGAGGACGAACTCCATGACCTTTTCTTCAAGAGGAGAAATCCTCAGTGTGTTTGCCAGGGATCAGATGTCTCCAAAGAGATGATGTCAATATAAACTTAAACTTTTAAGTTGTTGATGGAGCTTAGGATTGCTCCTTTTGTTTTCTTTCTCTCAGGGAATTACCTCCCAAATGTTGCTGAGACAAAAACGACCTTTACTTACGAAATACAAAAGAAGGTGTCAAGGCTCAGGGGAAAGGTGGAAAGGGTTTGGCTGGCTACTGTCTTTACCTGGGGGGGTTTTCTCTTTGGAAGGGAAAAGATACCTTGAGATTTTGGCAGGGTGGTGAAGGGCTGGGCTCAACTCCTTGCCTTCTCTTGCTGTGGCTTCAGAGGAGGATGGTGCAGCTGCTGTTTACAGAGGGGGTGGCAAGTTTGCTGCTGCCAACAGAGCCCAGCTCTGTCCTGCTTCTCCTGACATGGGTGAGCCTTTGCTCATGACAGCAATCGCTGAACTGGGACTTACTGGCACCCTGCCTCATTGGAAAGGACACTTGCCATCTCTTCAGGTACCTCAAGGGAAAAGACCGGGACCCTGAACCCCTTCCCTGAGGGCCCATTTATCCAGCTGTGTGAGGCAGCTGCTGCAGAGGAGCAGTCCCTGCTGTTCTTTTGCCGTTCTCTGAGTTTTCATTACACCGTAGCCCCAGTGCCTGCCAGGACACCCCCTGCAGCAATCTGCTCCTGTCTGCCGTTCCAGCCCGCTGCTCCGAGGTTCGTGCTGCAGTCCACTCAGCTTCCCGGCTGCTTGCCGTGAGTTTCCAAAGGAAGCCCCTTGTCCATCCCTTCCGCCAGCCCGCCCGCCATTCCCGTGTGGAGAGAGGCGGCCGAGCTGGCGCCACAGCGCCCCCTGCAGGCGCGGGGGAATCATCGCGCCCGCCCTGCCCGGCCGGGAGCCAGCAGCACCCCTGCCGGCTGTGCCCGGAACTGCAGCAAAGGGGAAGGTGCCTGCAGCCGGGAGGAGGCTGGGACTGGCTCTCTGGGGCTGTTCCTTGCTGCTATCGGGGCTGTTGTTTGTTTGCCTTGTTACACACACACACACACACACATGTAAAGAACTGCTATTCCTTTTCCTGTATCTGTGCCTGAAAGCCCTGTAATCTCAAAGTTACAATAATTTGGAGGAAAGGGGGTGATATCCTCCATTCCAAGGGAGGTTCCCGCTTTCCTTAGCAGACACCCGTCTTTCACACCAAGACAGTTGCTGTTGACAAAATAACTGTTTTTTCAGAAAGAAAAAGCAATATACTTTCAAGATGCATGGTTGGTCTAAGCATACCTTAAGAGCAAAGAAAACATCCTAGTAGAGAAGAAAAACAGCAGTAATTCCTACCGTGCAGTGGTATAGTGACCTTCTGTCCTGCTTTTCCTGTAGTGGTTGTCATGGTTAGCACTGTCTGGGCAGGAGACGCTGACGTGTTTTCAGCACCAATGCTTGACGCTGGAGCAATTGTCAGCTTAGTTCCTTTTGCTAAGACTTTTTCCATCTGCATTTCTTTGGGGCTGTCTTCTCCAAAGAGCCTTCTCTTAGCACTTCCAGCGGTAGGAGAACTGTAGCGCTCATGAACGGAGATTGGAGACAATGGCTGCATGTCTGGTACGTCAAGGAAGAAAAAATAAACCAAACAAAACCTTAACAGCAGCAGCTTAATGGAAATAATTCTGCAGAGAAGGAGAAAGGATACCTTCCAACTACACCAGTAGAGATCACTTGTAGTTCATGCCTGCTCTCAGAGTTCACCATTCTGAGGTGGTAAGAACAAGATCTACAGTCTGACTGACTCCTTTTGCAGTCACCCAGAGCGCAGTTCTGCCGTCAGGTATCACATGGAAGCTGAGCAGCCACTCTGATCCAGAGACTCAGGAACACACAGGATCATAGGTACTTACTCCAGTCAGCCTAGTAATTAGTAATATTTCCAAGTGTTACTCCTGTGAACACATTCCTCTACAGGAACCCTGACCACATTCCTTGGACATGATGTCTTCCCTATGTTCTGGCTTTCCAAGTCTCTCTAAACTGTCCCCAGTCAGGTGACTCCACCCTCACACAGCCCCAGTTCCTCTCAGGCTTTTCTGTTGCTTTCAAACATTTACTCCAGTAGTAAACCTGACGTACACAGCACTAAGGTAACAAGCTTCTGTTCACAGGCTTTTTGCATTCCTGCTGCAGTCTGTGACAATAACGGTGACAACAGTTTCCTATTTCCCATAAATAAGAAATTGTCTAGATAACTGGCCAGGTAAGATTGACTTGAGACCTTACTTTTAATTCTGACAAGATGGTTCCCTTGGTACCAGATATAAATAAACATTTCCTATCCCCACCATTCTCCAACTGAATTCAGGAGTATCAGATTCTCATATTCAAAGCTGTGTCTCACACAGCCTTCCCCATATATACCATCTCCAATCTGGTTCCTCTTCTATCAGTGAGCCCTAACACTTACAGCAATTGCTTGTACATCTCCTTCGTAAGGAGTATTAAAAAAAAAAGACCAAACAGTCTTGTTTGTTGGCAGACAAACACCGAAGGGGACATTACACAACCCACCAGTCCATGGTACACCTGCAAGAACATATGGACCAGTGTCTGGGATACAATGAAAGCAGCAATTCCTAACTAGAGAAGCATGTACAGGAAACAGCAGTGCTGGCACTGCTTCTGCACCCTCACTGTCAGGAGGGTTCTGTGTGTGTGAGATGCAGGAATCTGCCGAGAGCAGTTCTTCAGAGGACAGAAAACTGTAGGCAAAGCATTGTCCTCCACCCCTGCACAAAAACAGTGTAGGAAGCAAGAATAAATGCAGCTCTGTCATTACATTAAAGTCACCTAAAATCCAGTCAAACTCACTGAGCATAAACTAACAGAAAGCAAAATAAAAAAACTGGAAAATTTGAACTTGAGTGGACAATAAGTGATTAGATGACAACCCACCTCAGAGTAAGGTCACCCTGGCATCAAACCAGGAGCAAAATCTGCTCCAGACCTGACAATGCAAAATCTGCATTGTCACAACTCTGCTGCCAGTGAGTCACAGCACTGGTTTGAGTGCATCTAGACCTTTCCCTGATCAAATAAACTTCACAGTTCTGAATGCTCAATTCAGATTCCAGGTTGTTTTTTGCAATTTCAAGGAAATTTAAAACCCCTCTCCCCAAAATCACTCATTCAAATAATATCAGAAGCCTTGAACATACCTCGTCTTAAACTCCCACCAAGATCTGTCCGAACCTCTTTCACTCGAGGATGAATTATGGGAGATAATGGCATCATGGGCAAGTGTCCAAACCCACTTCCTCCATTGCTGGCCTCAAAATTACTGGGAAATATTACCTGAGAAATAAGGAATGTCAGTGTAAGGTAACAAATTAACTTCCCTTCTTTGTGACAATCTATTAAAAGAAGATTTTCTCCAGTAATGGTCTCATTTGAACAGTTTTCTGTATAAAACAACAAATAATAAAAAGAATATGAATTTTCTAGTAACAAGAATGAGATCACATACTTCTTCACAGGTTGGGACTTTGTTATCTGAGGCCTCAAGTGCATTCCAGAGTGCCGAGTTCCGAGTCCAGGCCAGACTCTCCAGAATCTGTTCCTCAATGCTATTGAGGTGCTTCACCATGTCTCTGGAAAGTCCTTCCTCAGACCGAATCAGCACTTCTATAACCTGATGGCAATGACACAAACACAGAACAATGTCACACTGCTCATGTTTAACACCATCAAACTGTTATTTATTTCAGGCTCCTGTTCAAAATATCAACACAGAATGCTCCAGCCTCCTCCTCACATCTTCATCTTCCCCAACTCTCTTCTGATCCCTCTTTTTTAGCCCCTTTTCCCAAAGCAACCCTGCAGCTGGAAGAAGACAGCAGATAGGCAATCAGTGCAGAACAATCCACTCCAGGGGCTTTTATGGCCCTCTCTCACCACAGCTAACTGTGCACAAGTGAAAGCACATGCAGCACTGACCTGGGAAGACGTGATCAGGTGCAGCTGCCCAGCAGGGGATGTGACAGCCCCAGCATTTCAGCTCTCCTTCCTCACAGACAAACAGCCCATAACATGAGAAGCTGAAAACCACTGATTTAAAGTTTGATTTAAGAAGCACTCAGAACCCTTAATGTGAATAAATGGGTCTGACTGATCAGAGCTGACTGATCCCCTGCAGTATCATACTCAAACACAAGAATCCACCCTGTGTTATTCCTGTGAGAGGAGCATTCAGCCTGTTTTCCTAAAGCTCCAGAGATGGAAATGCCATAAAAGTTCCCCGGAAGCCCTATTGATATTGATTAGTTATTTCTGCTACAGAAGCTAAACCCAGAGAACAAAGTTACAAATATCACAAGTCTCTCTAGTGTGAGACCTTTGCAATGGTAATTTTTGTCCAAATAAGAGTGCTGCAAGAATATACACTGAATGGCTGAGAAAACTGAAATCAAACATAAATCTGTTCCACAAAGTTGGATGTGCACCAGTTTTGATGCAGGCCACAACAATATTGACCATCAGCCACAGCAATATTGACAGATTTGTTACAGCACCAGTATTGCCCTGCAGCTGAGAAGTAAAGGAAAAAGGAAGGATAGAATACAAACCAGCTTTCCCAAAGGTTTCAATTTTTTGGTTGCTGTCATCTAAACAGAACAACTTGATTTATTCAGAACTAACCCCAGTACGCTGCAAGGCATCCAGCAAAAACTGGAGGCATATGGATAGGTGAAAAAAGGATTGAAGTAGTAAAAAATCAAGTTACACTGGAAGTGGGGAAAATATGGTTAAATAAAGAGCAAAACCAGAGAACACCCTGGAAAAGATATTCTGTTACATACAGGAAAAACCCCCAAACTTAGCAAAGCCAGCCTGTGATAAATAGTAGCGGCCAAAGGCAACATTTCAGATCTGTATCTGCTATTTCAGAACTGCATTGCAGTCAATAAATATAAATATCAACAAAATATATGCTTGAAGGCTTTAATCTAGTAAAAGTTGATCAGCAGTATGTTACAGATCAGTACCATTTACAAAATGTGACTTTTTCTTTATATTTCAGTTTCATCTCTGGCATTACACCTTCCAAACAATACATTTAAGGAGCACCAGAATTTAGAATAGGCCTAATGCAATTAGTATCAGTCCTTGTCTTTCCCTGATTCCCTAGGGAGGAAAAACATCATCCTCTATGACCCTCAATCCAGTTACATGCCATTTTTAATACAGATCCTGTCCTAAGCCAATGTTTATTTACCTTATAGAAATAGAATGGCCTGAGGTCAAGCACTTCAATGATCCAGGGGAAGGTGCGAGGGGAGCTGTAAGCGAAGAGCACAATCTCCAAGCAGCATGCCAGGAGGGAGCGGTGAAAGAGATCCTGTTCCAGGAGAGCCTGGAGAGACCACAGAAAATGGCACTGGCCTCAGATTTGGGAAACAGAAGTTAGAATTTTGTGGCACTAACACTACACAGCTTATTGTTGGAAAGAAGCTGGCTTCTTCTCCCATCCACAACCTCCTTTTCACAAGAAAGTTGAGGAGACAGAAGTAGAGTAACAACACCAAAATGATCATATTTTGCATGCTATGGACAAATGAACTGGCATCCTTTGCTGTGCATCATAAAGCAGAGCAAATGCAGTGCTGTCTAACATAAAGTACTGATATACTGTTCATTGGATAAAGAAGAGAATAAAGGTTATATGTCCATAAAGTTGTGATTCTAGAGGGCAACACAAATTCAGATGTTTAATTATGATAGTTATACTGGTTTAAATAGTAGAAGAAAAATACATTTTGGCAGCTCCCATGTATTTCCCCTTTTTAGTATTAACAATATACAAAGTGCTTTACAGTGCTTTGTTCTGGAACTGCCTGAAGATAAACTCCAAGAACAGTTAAAAAAAGTGTTCTAATCTTTCACTGATTCTTTACTTACAGTCAGATCCTTCCCATGCAGTCTCCGTGTTTCTTGCACCATTATAGTCTCCAAGATTTTATAGTACAAGATCTCTGCCAGTTTTAATCTGTTTACAGCAAAATCTGAAATTTAAAATCAACAGAGATTAAATCCAATGCCACTGACACAAACAGGGTTAAGACTAAACTGACCAGCACCTGTCCTCATCCAAAATAATAATTATGTCTGTAAATACAGACTTTGCAAACAGAAAAAAAAAAGTTCACAAATACACTAATCCAAATAAAATTCCACAAATATTTTAAAGGATTATTTATTGTAATATTTCTTGTGATCTAAATTTTCAATAATCATTTTCTTATTTGCTTTCAGTTTCCTTTAAATTTTAAAGCTAACAAGAATGCAAGTTTACACTTGTTAAGAGTTGCTTTTCCATGACTTCTTGGTTATCCCAGTTTGAACTGCAGCCTTGGGATCACTCTGCCATAAATTTTTACTCTTTACAGTGTACTGTGACAGCAGCAGTTTTCTGCTTGGGTGTATCCTGGGACAAAACCAGCTCCACTATATTAAATACAGAAAACAGTATAGGTATGCATTCTGTTTGCCCTGGTTTAGTATTTTGAAACACCCCATGCCTTTCACTCCATACCTATGTGAGATCCTGGCTGCTCATCCGTTGACTGAGTGTAGCAGCAACAGAAGGTCTCACCAATTTCCTTCACTCTGCTCATAATGCTTTCCAAGGGACTATGGGCACAAGACCTGAAGCCAAAGGCAAATAAAGTCTTGTTTGTATAAATTAATATCCAGTTTAAAAAAATAAATATCAAGAAACAACAACCATAAAACCAAAATAAAAAGAAAAGCCGATTATACTGAGCATTCCTTATCAGCAAGAACCTGTATTACACAAAGAGGAAAACATAAAACACACACAAGAATCATGTCCTCTCTTTCTAACAGGGCCAGGGAGGATATGCAGATCTTGGAACAAACTCAGGAGAACGCAAGAACTATAGCAGCGCAGTGAGGAGAAAGATGAACCTGCCAGGAGTAAGGATGCTGCAACAGGCACTCATGACACCACACAGGCCAGGCTGTTTGAGGGAGCACAGAAAAGCTTAAAGGAAGCTGCAGCAGCATTTTCCCATTTCCTACCAAGACTGGGAGAACTGATGAACTCCACGTTGTCACTGCCATAAAAAAGGGCCATAGTATCTCTGGCTGGAGATGCCCTTTCTGAATGCTTCTGAATTTTCCAGCAACTCTGTTTTAGAGGACAGTGGCCTGTGGCTGGTGTCAAATTAAGACACTAAACTACTCTGAAAAGCTAGAATTAAAATCAGCTAAGGTTTCTCTTTGAACAAAGCCTTCTAATTAACTTCAAAGCTTTCTTCGTGGAATTTTAATTTGACAAAGAAAATCCTGAAAAACATAGATATTACACAGTCCAAACTACAGTTCCTCCACCTCTTTCAGGGACACAGTATATATACTCCAGTGCTTGCTGAACTCATATCCAAGATGAGCAGAGCACTCACCACAGGTCTTGCCAAAGGTTTATTCAATTCTTGTTCCCATTTTAATATTAACCTCTCTCTTGACAGTCTGGTTTATTATTTGAAACAAACACATGTTTTATTAGTGATTACAGACACATTAATGTCTTAATTGTATAGTGTAAACAGTATCAGTCCTTATAAAAACAAAGAAATATTCAACACAAACGCATCCCATAAAGCACAGCTGTAAATTTTTAAGAACTAGTGCTAGCAAAACTTTCAAATATATATAACTCCAAAGATGAGAATGGTAAGTAATATTTTTCACCTGTTCATGATGGTTATTTTAAAAAAACATTGCTTCTTGCACTTCAAATATTAAGTGCTAATACTAAACATCCATTCTGATTTGTAAAAATACAACTGGAGACCTTACATTGTAATAGAGCAGGACTTAAACTTGGTAAGATATTAGGCAAACACACAGCATCTTTACAGGTATTTACTATTCAATTACTGCTTTTTATGAGCTATGCCCAGGGAGGAAGGCAGAAATCTGAAATGTGCTCAGGGAACAGCCACCAGAATACCCTGAGTGGGAAACATGACTGCTGCTATTCCAGGTCAGCACTGACAATGACAAGGCTCACTGTGAGGCTCATCCTTGTGCCATGGGGTTACACCAACACACCCTGAAGTAGTGTGAAGGAAAAATGGGCAAGGTGTAAGCTGCTTTTAGTTTTATCTTCCCAGCTGAAGGCAAAGACTGCAGCTTGTTCACCTGACCGTTTCCACCCTCCTCCAAATCCTCTGCCAACATGGTTACCACCACATCTTTTAATTGAGAAGTACTTATTTAAAATGTAAACAAATAAAAAAGGCATTTGGCTTTCAAGCAGACAGACAAATCAACATCAGCAAAAGCTGAAGCCCCATTAACGCAATGGTGGTGACAAGTCAGATGGGTGTGTGTGTGTGTTCAGCCATCCTTCTCCAGATGAGATCATCCAGAAAACAAAAGATCCTTCAACAAGAAATAATACAGAAACACAGACCAAAATATTCTGCCCTGAAAGAAGAAAAAACCAAAAGATGAGTTTCTGTGTAAATGAGAGCAGCTGAAGTGGACATACTCACTCAAAAATAGCTGTAAGTTGTTCACTCGGTGCATTTTTCAGCCCAGCCACCATGCTCTGCAAACGGCTCACGCTCTGTGTGGCCGAAGCCACAGGAGTGATGGCAGCTTCCTTTTCTCGCAGGTATCTTCTGCCAGTCAGTGGAGTTGAAGGTGCAAATGACCTTTTCTGTCAGATGGAGAAAAATAATAAATAGAAATCAGCCAACAAAACTGTTTCAATTACCTTCCAAATGAGCATCTCCTGCAAAATTCCTTCAAGAATTAAAATGACACCACTAATACAACCACATGAAGGCTTCATCAAACCTGTGAGCTCAGAAGTGACTGAAAACAAGCCAAAGTTTTCCCAGGACTCCATAAACATAAAATATAACAAATCTTTGTGCAGCCAAAAGTTAACTCAAAGGGATTTTACAACTAAAACACAGTAAAACAAGACCTAAAATCTTAAAACCTATAAAATTTTAGACTCATTTGAACATTGAAAATACAGGGTAAGGAAGAGGAAGCACATGCTTCCATTCTCAATCCCTGACTGCATTAGCTGACACAAGGAGTGGGTGGTAGAGCTGTCCAGGAGAGATTCACAGGAGAACATTCCTTGGGAAATGGGCCTCCCTTCATCCAAAGTGAGCAGATGGAGCTGTGTGGACTGCACTTACTTACATTTGTATCCTGCTCTCTGGAAGTGAAACAATAAAGTTTTTGGATTTATTTATCTGAACTGACAACATTCTGAAAATATAACGCAAATAATGAGAAAAGGTAAAGCCTTCACAGTCATTATGCATATTCATATACTACAGAAACTGAAGCTCAAAATGAATAAAACCCATTCAATTTGCCTGAATATGAAATACACTTATATTTGGGAGAAAAAGATACGACATATGATTCATTTACACTAGCACCAGCATCTTAAAATAAGAATTCTTATTTTTTAATTGACATGTAAATCAAACAGCATATAGTTCATTCACATAGCCAGTACTATCTCTCCCCTTATCCAAGAATAAAAAGTAATCAAGCAACTGTTTTCCTGCATGTCAACTTCATTAAATACATTTTACATTTTTAAACATAATGAAACATTAACTCTGTTTATAGATTATTTTTTGTAATGAAGAGAGACTTTGTTGAGGTCTTTGCATGAATCTTATTTTCCATAGTAGAGTAGGAAAGTTGACTTTTCCTTTCCTAAGAAAGGAAACAGTGGGAAAACAAATTAATTCAGTGTCAAGGTTTCATGGTATGATTATGGCATATAAATGACCAAAACTAAGTCCTACATATTTGGGTATTAATTACTTACTGATTTTTCTTGCACAAAACCAGACAATACACATGAAGTGTGCTCATTCTGTTTAAGGAATAGTTATTTTAAAAATTCCACAGGAAAGGAGACACCACCTTTTCTCCTTAGCAACACAGCACTAAAGCCTGTGTTCACCATTTTCCTCCCAGCAAGAAATTTCAAGTCAACCCAATGATTCAAAGAGTGTATAAAGACAGGAAAACTTGAAGGAGAACTTCAAGTGAGCTTGCCATTTTAAATTAATCACCTTTTCAAAATGCTGCTGCAGATGACACTCCATGTGAGCTCTTGCTGCCGTTTTCTCTCCTGGTACATCTGCAGGGAATTTTCGAGTACCAATTTCTTCTTCAGCATCAGCTCCCAGGAAAACTCTCTCATCAAAGTCACCCACGGTCAGAACATACTCTTCATACTCTTTATTCAGTGCTTTGCTGAAAGAGAGGCCCAGGTTTGATAACAAAGGTTTAACCGCTGAACAAAGGAAGAAGGTGCCCCAGGAGTGCTGGTACAACCACAAACCAGCACAGGGTCAGAGTTTCATGCTCTGGACAGCAGTGCTGCTCCCACCTCCCTGAGCAGCCTGGCCCCAGCCATCCCTGCCTACCCTTGGACCCAAAATCTCTTTAGGATCACTGCAGGAATCACTCTTCCACCAGCATTTGGATCTCAGTAAGAAAAGGGAAAAAACAACTTTGCTTTCACACCACTTGTAAATAAACCAGTCTGGAAGTGCTCAGCTGCTCAGAGGTTAAGTCTGTGCACACACAAGGAGAACTGCACCCAGCTCTGCTGGATTTCTGGGTTTGCCACTCTGTAGCCCATAATTTTCCTAATGGTACAGATGAGAGGAAAGTGAGGAGTTATTTCTGGGTTTTATTTCTAAAACTACCACTGACATGTGACTCCAAACAAATCCTTCATTTTCTTTATTCCAGCATACTAAGAGAAATTCAATGTTCAATTATCAAATAAATGATTTTGTATCTAAATTGAGGTGTTATCTGCATTGTTAAAACAACTGAGTCCTTGCTCAAAATTCCCAAAGCAAACCAACAAGTTAAAAGCTCACAAAAGCCAAAAAAAAAATTAATAGGTATTTTTCCAAACGGCAAAAAAAACCTGACAAGGATTTTTTATAGTTTGCATTTAAAGTAGCTTTCAGAGGTGAATTCAAACTTTCCAAAACAACTACACTTGCCTCCCACAGAAATTGTTCACCTCTTTTTTGTGGTTTTGCAATTGTTCTTTTTCTTTTGAGTCCATCTGCTGCCTCCACAGATTTATACACTCAATTAGAGACAGAGAAATAAATTTAGAGATTTCCCTACTTGAGCATAATACGTGTATAGAAACACATCTGTGACCTTCAGAGCCAATGTTTTGATTTGCATTACATTATTCAAAGGTTACAGTTGCCAGAAAATCAGAGCAACTACCAAAAAAACTGACATCAAGAAGAATCTCTGCAGCTTGAACCCCTGACATAGGGGCTTCAGCCAGAGAGCAGCTTTGATGGACAAATAATCAAAACCCATTAGTTATGGCAAGACAAACGAACAGGAAAACTGAGATTTAGTACAGAAAGGCCTGTGCTTGACATGAACAAAGCCCTATGATTAAGAACAAAAGCTGTTACTTACTTATTTTCTGTAAAGTTGCAAAGATCCAACAGACAATCTCCTTTTAAGATCTAAGAAAAAAAAAGCAGAAATATCTTAGATAATAAAATCAAAATTGTTTCAAGTCTGAGGGCATGATGGTTTAAGTCAAAAAGGAAATGAGATTTAGGTACATAACTGGACTCTTTTTTTTGCCTAGACCAAAGGGCTACAGTGCCATTACCAAGACAAAGAACAAAGCCCAACTGGATCCAAGCTCCATACAAACTCACTGCTCAGAGCCAGCCCTGCAATGTGGCATCTGTTCACTGCTGGGTTAGGGACTGGCTCCATGAGCAACTACAAAGAAGCTTTTGCAGAGCTTGCAAAACATTTCCAGGATCAGAACTGGACAGGACAATTTGTATATCTGCAACTTCAACCTCTCCTTCCAATTCATTTTGCTCAACTTCAAGACAAGCAGCAGGACCCACACTCCCACGACAGATATCCCATACAATTATTTCACACGGTGATAACTTTTTTTTTGCCTGAAGAAAACACCATCCTTCATGACTCAGTTTCACACTGCCAAGAAAGGAAAGCAAAGATTCTTCACTGACATAAAAAGCTGAAAGAGAGGAGACCTTACAGCACACAGCATTAGAAGTGTGAGGGAATTCTGCTCCTGCTAAAATACAAAGAAAACTGGAGCCAGCCTGAGTTCCTTTGCTCACGAACAAGTTCCTTTGCTAATTTCCTTTGCTCTCCCCTGTGGAATGTGCAGCACTTAAATGGTCTCAAGACCACCATGAAGCACCACCAAGTGCTCATAAAACTCACAAGTTATACCTTCCTATCAAACAGCTTTGCAATGTATGGTTTGAAGTAGTGCTCCTTTATGCCTTTCGCTTCCACGAGGAGCCCGTCATGCAGCTCGCAGAGCATGGCCACGATGCAGGGAGGATCCTCAGAGGCTTTGATCTCCAGAGTGTGGAATTCCACTGGTAAGCCTGGGAACCAGGAGGAGAGGGAAGACAACCAACCTTCAACTTCATTTCAAATGAGCCAAGAGAACAAAGCACACTTGATTGTAAATAAGCTGTCCCCATCATACCTTTAAATGATGGATTTAGCAAATCTCTTCTGTTTGGACACAGAAGGGCATTGGCAAAAACCAGGTCCAAGCAGCACAGAAGTAAATGATAGGAATTTACTAAATCATCTCCAATCATATGGAAATTACCTTTAAGAGACAGCACATCACGTCAAGCAACACAACAGAAGATCACAGCTGGGAATGTATACAAACCACGAAGGCAAATCAAGCAGCCTACCCTTAGTGTACACAAAAAGAGTCCAGCAGAAGTTGAAGAGATCTTTGACACTACATGGCACCCGCCTGTCAACAAGAAAAATTGGGGGGAGAAATTACTCTTCAGTTCCAGGAAGCCAAACCTTGCTCTACAGCACAAATTCCATTCCATTTCCCTGCTCAAAACAATGGCTGGAGCTGCTGTCTCAATTCCACATTAAGGCACAGTCTAAGCTACATGTCAGTCCAGTCAGTTCAGCTCTCACTGCCTGACAGACAGTGCCCAACCTGGCTCCACAGAGTGTCCTGCACACATCCACAACTTCCCAACCCTGTTCCCAAGACAAAGGCTGCCTCTGGCCTCTGACCCTACCACGCTATTCTGTTGGTGTCATACCTCCCACAGAACCCTCCAGCAGCCACAGGTGAGGAGGTGACAAAGGCTATATATATTCCAGTGAGAGTTTTCCCAAAATATTTTACTAAAGCATCAGCCTTCAGAGCAGGCAATTTTAGCTTGTACTACAGCTCAGCTGCTGACTCCTGTTTGGAGCAGAACTATCCAAGCCCATGGAGCTGGAAGACCAAGGAAGACATGACTCAGCCCACAGAGCAGCCAAAGCCACGGTGGCACCAACCAACATTGCTCTGAGAAAGGAACATGAACAGAGCACTCGACAGAGCACCTCCTCTGCATTCTGCCTGTGGATGTGGAGTTACACAGGAACATTGTACCACAACAATTATCTCCCCTCACATCCAGAGAACCCACATGAACTAACAAAAACACCTTGCAGATCCACATTTTGGCTGCCTCATCCCCAAGGTTACATTCTCACTACAAAACTGTCACAGCCACATATTCTTGCAGGGAATAGGACACACTCCTTTCAATAAGGCAGACGTTTCATGTGTGTGTGGAAAACGACACCACACATTTCCAAATTTGTCATAAAAATGTGCACATCAGCTGTAACTTCCTCCCTTTTGGTGTTTCCATTCATCTGGCAACCATGGCAAACACCTGGCAGCATGGAGGTCACAGGGATGTGACAGCCCCGAGCAGAGGGATCACGGCATGATCCAAACCCCTGCCACCACTGCCAAGACAAAACACACTTGTGCTACTTCAGCTATTTCTGCTAAACATTTAAAGTGTACTTTGGAGCTAACCCACCTCATGGTACCTCTTCCCACCACACCCTGACATGCTCACAGCAGGACAGTTCCTGTGCTACAGCAGCTGGTTGTGAAGCCCAGATGACCTGAGCTGCACCCACCAGGGTCAGGGGTGGCTCTGCACTGGCTGCATTTCAGAGTCAAAGAGACCCCATCACTTGGGAAATTAATTTTCATAAACTTATACTGGGTATAACTCTTTCCAGGGAAAAGTCACATCAAATCTAAAAAATACCTTTGCTTCCTGCTTCGATGCAGTTTGGAAGTTTCTTCATAAGGGTTTTGAAATATATCAAAAAATATTGGTTCAAACTTTTTGAAAATCACAGTTGACACTTCAAAATTTCTCTCCAGTCTCTCAACTCGCTCTCGGAATTCCTGGGGCAGGTTTGACATGTCCATCCACTTCTTCATTTTGCTAAAAAACTGAATTAAACTTAAAAGAAAAAAGAAAAATCTGCTTTGAGCTTTAACTAACTTTCATTATAAAATTTTAAAAAGCCAAAATGCTTTTAATGGTTTTTTTTTATTTACTTCTTTAATGACTGACATGATTACTATGTAGGTTTACAACTCATTTTGATAAGACTCCCAAATTGTATATGTTATCAGATTTTTGCCTTTTATCACTCTGGGGTTTCTTCTTGACCTTCTTTAAGGCATTGGAACATTAATTTGATGTGGAGGCTGCCAGCATGACTGTGTGGAGCAGGACAGTGGTGGCCATCAAAGTGCAGGCACAGCTCTGCATATGCTGAGGTGGAGGCAGGACAGGCAACAAAACAAGCCAAGAGCTGATGCCTGTCAAAAGTTACCTGTACAGAAACCTGTCAGCTGGGGATGTAAATAACTGACAACCACTCCAGCAGCTCAGCGGGGATTGGGGCTTTTAAATGTAACGAGCGAGATTCCAGGCTCCTGTTCCCAGGTCACAGCCACAGTGACAGGGGAGCTGCTGCCGGGGTCGTGCAGAAGGTGAGTTCTGTTATCACCAGCGCTGTGTTCCCAGAAAAACCAGCAGCTGCCAGCACTCCGTCGGGACTTGGCCTGAATCCTGAGTCAAACACACGATGTACCGGGATGGCACGCGCCGAGGTGTTTGTGGTAAAATTAACTACAGAGAGAAACAACTGGCGCGTGTAGAACAGCTGCTGGTCCGACAGAGGCCGTTTCCTAAAGGCTTGAAGTTGGAAATCACGTATTTGCATCTCATTTCCATCTGTAATAACAGTGGATTTACTGCTTTTACCCCGCCGCGGCCGGCAGGGCTGGGAGCGAAGGAGCGGCACTGGGATCAGCGGCTTTGGCAGAGCAGGGCAGGGCACTCCCGGCGCTGAGCGCTCGGCCCCGGCAGGGCCCGGCCCGGCGGGCGGGGCGCTCACCTGAGGCGTGCGGAGCGCAGGATGCGGGTCAGGGAGAC